GCCTCGACCTGCTGGGCTCTGGCAATCCTTCCGCCTCAGCCTTCCAAGTAGCCGGAATTACAGGCATGCGCTACCACGCCCGGCTGATTTTTTATTTACTGTAGAGATGAAGTCTCGCTGCTCAAGCGGGTCTCGAACCCGCGGGCTCAGGCAGTCCGCTCACCTCAGCCTCCCAAAGGCGCAGGATTACAGGCCGAGCCACCGAGCCTGGCTCCCAAAGCAAATTTATTCTTTTTAAAGAATTATATAATATCCAATTTATGGATGTACCATAATTTATTTAATCTGCCTCTTAATAATGGATATTTAGTTTGTTTCTAATTTCTTTTTGCCATTGCAAAACAATGATCAGTGAATATTCTTGTACATATATCTTTTCATATATATTGTTCATTTATAATATGAGTTACTAGAAGTGGAATTTCTCAGTCATAAGATATATGCATTTTTAATTGTTATAGGAATTGTAAAAATTGCCTTACAATTTGTACCCCCATCAAAAATATGAAAGTGAGTTACACAATTTGCCAACACAATTTGTTTGCATTCGTTTTTTTTAAAACTTTGCTACTCTAGAAAGCGAAAAATGGTATCTCGTAATTTTAATTTACATTTCTTTTTTTAATGAGGAGGATCGAGCATCTTTTCTGAGTTTGAAAGCCATTTGCAGGCTGTTGATTTATTTCTGCAATCCATTGAACTCTAATGTGTCCAAATTCTGATTGCAAATAGAAGCCAGCTCACCAACTCATACATAAAGGGAAATGTATTGAAAAGATACAGGAATCAGTGTCTTGTAAAACCTAACAACAAAACTTTGATAGGACCTCAACGAAGACTGGAACAGGCTACTGAAAAGCCAACAGAAACTAAACTGTGCCTTTGCTCTACTTCCTGCCTCTGCTTTTCTGCATCATTTTTTTCTCATTGGACTGGCTGAATATGGCCACTCGTGGGTTTGGTGTTTACATATTACAAGTTCAGTAACTCAGAGAGACTGAGTTTCTCCTTCTCTTGGGAAACATAATCTCTGATTCAGCCAGACAGCATTCTCTGGGCATTTACCTGTGCCCATGGGAGCAGCATCATGTAGCAGAAATCCGATGACTGAAAACCCCTTCCCATGCTAGGTTGAGCAGAAACTGTAGTGTCCATTAGTAGTGTGTGATTTTTTTTTTCTTTTATTCTTTCTTAATTTTGGGATAGTGAAAGTCGAATAATTTATATGTTAGCTGGAGAAAATTCAGAGAATGAGATAAGCAAAAAATATCACCCACATTCTCACCTCCAAGAGGCAACACTACACATTTGACTCTGTTCTTCTCTTTTTTCCTCCATGAGCTTATTATTTCATTTACAGAGTTGTAATCTATTTTAGAATCTTTTTGTTACTTAATATGTGATGAATGTATTTCTACAACATGAATTATCTACAATATACTGAACTATTCCTTCCCCAATATTTGTTTCTGATTTTTTACTATTAAGTAAGATGAGTATCTTTGTGGCTAAGTATTTGAGCAGTCTATGAATAGTTCCTGATGATAATTTCTGATTTTGAAAGTAAACATTTTGAGTCTTTTGATCAATACATTTTCTGATAGAAGCTCATCTGGAAAGCCTTGCCATGCAAGTTGATACTGTGTCCCCACCAAGTTTGAAAGCTCTGAGGCTTATGTCTGATATACATGTCTTAAGGGGTCATTTATATTGGTGAATTAACCATAATCAATGATTCCTTGAGGTTCAGAAACTTTTTTTTTGCAGTAAGAATAGATCAGACTATTAGGGACAGATTTAATATACACATTATGAGAGACTGATTAACTTCTGATTAACTTATTAATCTAGTCTACATGCAATAAGAAATGAAACTGTCAAGCAGACTGTTTTTGGTTTTTTTTGGGTTTTTTTGAGTCAGGGGTCTCACTCTGTCTCCCAGACTCTGGAGTATAAATGGAACAATCACAGCTCACTGCAGCTTCAACCTCCTGGGCTCAAACAATTCTTGCATCTCAGTCTCCCGAATAGCTGAGAGTTGCAGACACACACCATCACTCCCACCTTATTTTTTAATTTTTTGTAGAGATGAGGTTTCACTTTGTTGCCTGAGCTGATCTTGAACTCCTGAGCTCAAGCAGACCTCCAGCCCAGCCTCTCAAAGTGCTAGGATATCTATTTTAGTCCATTATTTTGGTTTGATGGTTTGATTTTCAGATACTTTTGAGTTTTAGAATAGTGAATAGACTATGTCACTCACATCTCTCCCTTCTTCTCCTTTCCAACTTTCCACTGCATGGAAACACACATTTTTTTTCCTATTGTGTGTTTTTAAAAATATATTCAGTTATTCTTATTAGCCAGGATCACTTTTCAACCCTTTTTGTTGATGAAAGTTTGGCAGTTCATATATATCTAGCATATTTGGTATTAATATAAGTAGCTCTGTTGTTTTAGCCAGCAATTTTTGTTTTTCACCTTTTGAGATTTTTAACTGAATCTGATAATTATTACATGTCTTATTGACTTGGTTTAGAATATGTATTTATAACTATTTTATCTTTCAAATAAATCAAAGAATGATTTTTTAATTTGGTCTTTTCTCAAATGTATGATAAAAATTTATTTTAAAAAATGTATTACCATTTTAAAAAGGATTTTTGGTCATCATACTTTCCTAGGAACAAATGATGAGACTTGATATTAAAGCAACAAATATTTGTTATTTCATCATAGCAGAAAATCAGATTTTTAACTTTAAAGAATTAATGAAATAGTGTGACATTCAATCTAAAAGTATATTATGTGGGTGTTCAGAATTCTATTCATACTATACCATTGTCTTGCCTGCCTTTTTCTTCTACTTACCATTATCAGTTGAAGTAATCTATTTCTTTTAAGGCTGTCAACTCTCTATTTTTCCAAGCTCAAGAAATAACTCTTTCATTTAGTTTACAGTCTCTAATGAGAACACCAGACTCGTACCTAATTACTTTAAAAGCCATTTGGTTGCAGTAGGACCTTCAAACAGGCAAAACTACCAGCTTGCCAATCCTTTCAGATAAATACACGTTCCAGTAGACACTAAAGTTATCCTTTATTTCGTAGAACTAAATGCTTTAGCAATTAGTTTTTCATGCTTTTATCTCTTCCTGTTACAAGGAACAAAAGCACATAATATATGTTTATTGGGCCAAGAAGTCTTGAAAAAGACAAGTAAGTTCAAGCAAAGGGAAAGTATAAAACAAGTAAAATGCTGTAAGGGAAGTATAAAATAAAATGTAATCTATAATTTAATCTGAATTTATATTTAAACAATTGGAGGTGATTCAAGTTTGCTAGATTTCCTAAAACTAAATTTTGTTGCATGTATAAACAAAATCCTTTTCTATCATTTGTATTTCTGCTTTTGTAATGGAACAAGTATGCCTGACATAGAATAGTTGAATGATTCAGTTGAACTAGCTCTTTGTAAATGTAGCCAGAATAGCTCTGTAAAAAGGAGACCTACCAACTAGTGTTTATTTTGTTGTTGTTATTGTTGTTGTGGTTGTTGTTTAGTGTAATTTTTTTCTAGTGTAGTTTCTAGTTTAAAACTACAAATCAGTGTTCTGATGTCTTTTTTTCCCCCGCTACATTTAAGTAAGAGAAGAGGAGTTGTTGGTATTTTTCTTTAAGAGACTTAACTTGGAACAGCCACAAAATGTAATTACAAGACATTTTCATTTAGATTATCTTTGTGAAAAAATATAAAAGCCAAATATTTTAAAATTCCAGAACTATCTGTTGAGCCTTATGAAAAAAACTCTTGGATAAACTTTTGGTTTTTCCTGTCTCTATCTTAAATTTAAACTACAAAATAAGAGAAGCCAATGACTAACATAAGCAGGATCTCTTAGCAGTCTTAGAGGTTGTTTTTTCCATTCTAAAAATAGCCCCAGTTCATTATTGGTTTGAAAATTTGTAATGCCCGAAAAGGAGGAGCCATACAGTTCAGAGACAACCATCACTAACGTTTTGATAATTCTTTCCAGACACATTTTTTACTTAGTATTGAACATACCTTATGTACAGTTTTTCATCTTGCTTTTTTCCTTTAACATTCTTTGTTATAAACTCTGTTAACATTTTTAGAGATTGTCCGACATTTTCAGTTGGATTATCCTAATTTACTTGATTTTGTATTTAAAAAATTAATTTCCAAACAAATACATATATGTACTCCTTTAAAAGGGTGCTTGGAGCCGGGCTCGGTGGCTCAGCCTGTAATCCCGCGCTTTGGGAGGCAGAGGTGAGTGGATTGCCTGAGCTCGCGGGTTCCGACCCGCCTGGGCAACTTGGCAGACCTCATCTCTACAATAAATAAAAAAAATCAGCCGGGCGTGGTAGTGCGTGCCTGTAATTCCAGCTACTTGGAAGGCTGAGGCCGAAGGATCACCGGAGCCCAGCAGGTCGAGGCTGCAGTGGCCGGGAGCGGCCACTGCACTCCAGTCTGGGCGACAGAGTGAGACTCCAACTCAAAAAAATAAAAAAATAAAAATAAATAAAAGGGTGCTTGGATTATACTATGAATCCGTTTTTTAGAACTAGTAATGTAACTTTTTTAAAAAAGCATCATTTTCCTATAGTTAGAAAAAGTGCATTATCTTACCTTGTGTGGTTTATGCATTACTGAATTACAGCAAAACTGCAGTTGGAAGTCATCCATAATATCACCATGGTTCCAATTGGGTTAGATAGGATCTTTGAACTGCTTTACAACTTTTAAGTCTAAATCAATAGAAAAAAATACTCACAGAAATTTTAGTGACATCATAATGTCACTAACTCCCCTGTAAATGTTCTCAATGTAATTACCAACCTGTACTATTTGACACATGCACAGAGAATAAACGTAACCGTTTATAATAGTGTATAGTTTGTTTTAAGAGTTTTTAAAAAAAAACTTGAGTATATTTTAATTTAATATTATTTGTGCATCCTAATAATAATTACTTTAGGTCCACTGGCTATTCTGAGGTAATAGTCGTTGTTGGAGGATGTGAACGAGTTGGAGGATTTAATCTTCCGTACACTGAGTGCTATGATCCTGTAACAGGAGAATGGAAGTCTTTGGCTAAGCTTCCGGAATTTACCAAATCAGAGTATGCAGTCTGTGCTCTGAGGAATGACATTCTTGTTTCAGGTAAATATAGAATTATTACAGTAGCTATTTTTAATTTAGACATATCTTGGCTATTTTAAACAATAACAGTGTCTTTAAAAGAAAATAGTGAAATGAGAATACTCCTACTCTATGCAGATACGTGTATGCAATGAATAAAACTGAGAATGATTTTTTGCTCATAAAAACAGGTACAAGATGATCCAGAATGATTTACAAAAGATCCATCAGAAAAATGGTTTTAATCATATCATATTTTAAGTGTTCTCAAATGCTTGTAGAATATGATATAATTTTTAAACTTTTGCCTCTTTGCTTTTGCAAAGTCAAAAGTAGTCCTAGAATTAACCATCTCTAATTCACCCCTATTTTCTGAAATTCTCTCCAAAGTTTATGAAGCAGGATTTTTCTTAAAATTCTTTATTTGAACTTCTTTATGATATTTACGTTACCTTTAAAATCAGATGGTAGGCTAGGCCTGGTGCCTCACGCCTGTAATCCCAACACTTTAGACTGAGGCAGGAGTATTTTTTGAGTCGAGGAGTTCATGATCATGCCACTGCACTCCAGACTGGGTGACAGAGTGAAACCCAACAAAAAAAATCTTTAACATTTGTAAAGTTCACATTCTATGTTTTATTATTTTGGACCTATAATTATTATGTCTCATGATAACGAGTGGCAAAGTTTAAATCTATTCCATAGAACTATTTTCATTCAAGTTTAAGAGGTTCTTGTTTCATTTATTGATCTGAATTCTCACATTCTTGAATTGGGTGAACAAATCTCATATTTACCCATCTATGACTTGATGGCATAGATCCTTTGATAATAGATATACAGTGATATATTATTTTATCTGCATTGCTTTACACTTAAAGGTGGAAGAATCAATAGCCGTGATGTCTGGATTTATAACTCACAGTTGAATATTTGGATCAGAGTTGCCTCTCTAAATAAAGGCAGATGGCGTCACAAAATGGCCGTCCTCCTTGGTAAAGTAAGAGAAACCACTTTTTATTACTATCGCTGGTACATTTCCAAAATAAATACCAAAACTGAATCCTTCGTTTTACTCTCCCTCTGGGTAGTTTGGATTCAAATTGTATTTCCTTCCATTTCTAACCTCAATAGATAAACTGAAGATATAAACAATATGACACTGTACTGTTGAATGGATATTTTATTCTCCTAATTTGGAATTCATGGCAGTGCAGCACATTTCTTTTCTCATGCACCATTGGAGTCCAAATGCCTAAAAAGCTTTGAAAAATAAAGGAGTTACATCAAATACAAAGACCCACCAACATCTAATCCAAGCAATTTTTTTCTTTCTACTGACTTTGGCAGTCAGGCAGAGATATGTATTATCTAAAATGATGTTATTTTATCTTTTTCATTTGTATAAGTAGGGACAAAACAAATTTAAAATAAATATTAAGATAAACTTACCAACATGTGTTAAAGAAAACATATTCTTGGCTATAGCTACTGAATAGTATAAAAAATACATGATTTGGGTTCTGAACCATCTACGGTCCTTAGGAACCTAAGAATCATCGATGGAGTAATGGCTTCCAAACTTTTTAAAAGCAATTACAGGTCAAATATCCCTTAACTGAAAACTTGGGACCAGAAGTGTTTCAGATTCTTTTTCCCTCAGATTTGTTATTATCTTCATTGTACTGGTTAAACAACCCAAATACAAAAATTCAAAATCCAAATCCTCCATGGAATAAGTATTTTCTTTGAGCATCATGTTGTCACTCAAAAAGTTTCAAATTTTGGAGCATTTCGGATTTTGGATTTTCAGATTTGAGATGTTCAACCTGTGTGCCCTCTTTTTAAAAGCTAACTCTAATATAAAAATCCATTATATAGAATAGATAAAAATACAGCAGCTGTACCAAGAAGTAACTCAGAGTTTTTAGCCTTTTCCTGCCTCTGTCTCTATCAACTTCTCCAAAGCCATCTCAAATTAATGAACAATCTAAGTAAAGGCAGCATTCTTGCACATAGATATTTGACTGGTCTTTTAGCATCCCTTTCTAAAAAGGTTTCTGCCTCTTAGACCCTCCTAGGGAGGCATTTAGGAGTCACCAATAAAAAAAACAGAACTTCTCTATTGAAACAGAGATAGTGGCTTGGAACCCTTCCCACTCAGGTTCCCATCAGTTTTTCTGTTTCCTCACAGAAGTTTCTTAAAACCTCTGTACTGTAGGATACTAGAGCTTCTCAAAACACAGTTTAAAAGCTTTAAAATTTCTAAGAACCTTGATCTACTAGGCTGCTGCTATTGACAAAGCTGATGAAATATAATGAGGACCCGACTTCATAACTTATATTTGTAATTTATACATGTAGGGGTATGTATTAAAATGTAATCCTCAAAATTCTATTATATGATAAATACTAATATTATCTACATGTTAAAATTGAGGATATAAATACCAGTCAGACTGGGTGTGGTGACTTATACCTGTAATCCAAGCATTTTGGGAAGCCAAGGCAGGAGGACTGCTTGGAGGGCAGGAGAACTGCTTAAAGGACAGGAGTTCAAGACCAGCCTGGGCAGCATAGCAAGATCTCATATCTACAAAAAGAAATCAAAATATTAACCAGGCATGGTGACATGCATCTGATGTCCCAGCTACTTGGAAGGCTGAGATGGAAGGATCACCTGAGTCCAGGAGGTTGAGGCTGTGGTGAGCTGTGATTACTATACTCCAACCTGGGTGGCAGAGTGAGACCCTAACTAAAAAAAAGAAAAAAGAAAAACCCTGAGTCTTGGCCGGCCTCGGTGGCTTAGCCTGTAATCCCAGCACTTTGGGAGGCCAAGGCAAGTGGATTGTCTGAGCCCGCGGGTTCAAGACCAGCCCTGGCAACTTGGTGAGACATTATCTCTACAATAAATCAAGAAAAAAAAAACTAGCCGGACATGGTAGCGCACACGTGTAGTTTCAGCTACTTGGAAGGCTGAGGCAGAAGGATTACCGGAACCCAGCGGGTCAACGCTGGGTTGTCATGAGCATGCCACTGTACTCGAGCCTGGGCAACAGAGTGAGACTCCAACTCAAAAAATAAAAAAAAACCCAAGTCTCCAAGAGGATAGATAAATTGTCCTTACGTTGGGTGGCAGAGCTAAATATGAACCCAGCTGTTCTGGCTTCAAAGCCTATGCCCCTAATTGCTACATTGCACCATAGGGGCATACCCCTTATAGCTACGTGGCCTTTTGTAAGTTACTTTATCTGTCCAAGCTACTTAGTGTTAGGGGGACAAACCCACCAACATTTATTTTGACATAGGGTGAGAAATACATGATAGAAGTAGCATTGGCTACTGTGGAAATCTGGAGGAGTACAGAAAGAAAAATTGTAGATAAATTTCAATGACAAGGTATGACGTTTGGCCTTGACCCTTAGGCATTTATTGTTGAACTATTAAAAGGAATTGATGAAGTGTTCAGGAAGATTAATCTGTGACTTAGAGAGCATAAGAGTGGAGACCAGGAAGATATTTGAAAGGGATGAATAATGTGGACCCTGAAGTAGGGTGGTGGCAGCAGGAAACAAAAAGAAGGGATGGATGCAAAAGATGCTGTGGCAAAGGCTCAGTAGGAATTAATAGTTAACAAGTTATGAAGAGGAGAGTTGACAACGACGTCCATTGAGAGAAATATAGATGTTAAGCTGGAGAGCTTTGTTAGCGTGGAAGTTTGTTATATATACCATGGTGCTTAATGGATTGTTCTTACAGGAACCATTTAACAAAGATCTTATTGGCTGGTTCACCTGTCATATAAAGAAATTAATTTGCCCCCCACCTTTCTCATATTTGTGAAAATAAAATGTAGGCCAGGCATAGTGGCTCAAGCCTGTAATCCCAGCACTTTGGGAGGCCGAGATGAGAGGATTACCTGAGCTCAGCAGTTCAAGACCAACCTGGGCAACTGGGTGAGACCTCATCACTACAACAAATCGAAAAATAAGCCAGCCATAGTAGAACACGCCTGTAGTTCCAGCTACTTGGAAGGCTGAGGTAGAAGGATCGCCTAAGCCCAGCAGGTCAAGGTTGCAGTAGCCATGAACGTGCCATTGCACTCCAGCCTAGGTAACAGAGTGGGACTCCAACTCAAAAAAAAAAAAAAAAGATAAGAAATATACGTGAAAACTCCTTGAAATATAGAATATGTAATTCATTATGTTGGTTACTTTTCTAGGTACTGTAAGTGCTAAAACATAGGTCTGCCTTCAAAGCTCTCATAGTCTAGTAATCTTTACCTAATATTTTCACTTCATAGCTTTATTACTTTATAATAATTAAAAATATTATTCATAAGTATGAATAATTAAGCTAAATCATGCGATTCTCAGTGTGAGCAGTATTACCCCCAAGTGGGTGGTGAAGATTGGTTCTTAGAGGGTGGGGGAAAAAAATCACACTTTTTCATATGGAAGCACAGATATACATGCAGTAAAGTAAACAGATACACAATTTATCTGTGGTATTAAAATTTTATTGAGGGAAGAGCAATTTTAAAAGTATGTCTAAAAAGGCTCCATGGTGGTGGTGGTGGTGGTGGTGGTGGTGGTGGTAGGGAGGTGATGATTTTTAAAAGGCTCAGAAACTGAGCAAAATATATTGCAATTATAGTTTTCAAGGAGTTTTTAAAGGGGAAAGATCCCTTAATTCTTTAACCAACTATTTCAAAATTCAGACTTTTGATAATGAATTTTCCATGTATTTTATATATAGGTATATGTTGTTGGAGGCTATGATGGGCAAAACAGACTTAGCAGCGTAGAATGTTATGATTCCTTTTCAAATCGATGGACGGAAGTTGCTCCCCTTAAGGAAGCAGTGAGTTCTCCTGCAGTGACTAGCTGTGTAGGCAAATTGTTTGTGATTGGTGGAGGACCGGATGATAATACTTGTTCTGACAAGGTAAGCCTTGTTCTCTGAAGAAATTACCTATGATATATTCAAGAAGGGAAATACAGGTTTATCAAGTAGGTAGTTTAGGTTGCTTAATGTGAGGGGTCTTTTAAAAATTGTCTGGCACCTTACACTTTTAGGGAAAAACATTAAATTCTGAGTTGCTAAAGTGAGACTCTTAATATATCTAACAATTTGTTCTAACAAATACGATCCAATCTTTTTGAAATGAGACATATCTCAGTGTCGAATGAAATTCTGTACTAAAATTGTTCTGAGCCTTTTACTGCTGTCACCTACAGAATCTAAAAATTATTAGCACAAAACACAGTTGGGAGGTGAATTAGCAAAGAGTGAGACACAGTAACTAAATATGCTTCTTCCAATTGGGTCATTTTTTACATACATTTAAAGTATTTTTTAGGACAAAGAGGGGAAAGGAAACCTCTGTAGCATAAATAGAGGACAGCTCAAAGTTGCTGTGGTTCATTAAATTCCTGGGACAAAAGAACATGTGCCATCCTGACATCTCAGGAAATACCATGTTTATTCTGGAAAAGCGATGTCTAATGCCTAATTAGTTTAGCAATGTTCACTGAATTTTGTCAATCAATTAATTCTTTTTCTAAATTACATTTAGACATATTGTGGTCAAATGTTACTTATTTAGAATTTATTAATTCAGAATTTGTAATAATTCAAAGTATACTGACTGAATTGAGGTTGACTTGTGTTTTTTTGAAGAAAGCACCCCCCTAAAAGTATAAATAAATTGTTTAGATTTGAGACATAGTTATCCTACATAACACAATTGTTAAAAAATTTAGACTGTTAATTTTAACGGAAAAAACTAAAGCAAACCTGTTTATTCCTAGAAGCAATCTGTATGTATTTATTTGTTCCTCTGTTCCACTAGATAATAATAAATTTGCGTTTCTTTTGAGAATTTTCATAATTCAAACATTTTACTATCCGGCTAACCTTCCTTAATTCTCTAAATTAATGATATTTGCTTTTTAATCATGTTTGTCTATACATAGTCTTTTTATTAAGTAAATTGACATTTTTGTTTAGAAATTTTAATTAAATATTTTTATATATTATTAGGTTCAATCTTATGATCCAGAAACCAATTCTTGGCTACTTCGTGCAGCTATCCCAATTGCCAAGAGGTGTATAACAGCTGTATCCCTAAACAACCTGATTTACGTTGCTGGTGGACTGACCAAGGCAATATATTGCTATGATCCAGTTGAAGATTACTGGATGCATGTACAGAATACATTCAGCCGACAGGTAATAATATAAAGCCGTCCAAAAGAGAGACTAAGCACAAGATCATTAATACACTAGAATTTCATTTTTAAAATATTTTGTGTATGCTTCAATTTGTTTTTTAGTTTTAATAAAAGTGGCCGGGTGCAGTGGCTCACACCTGTAATCCCAGACTCTGGGAGTCCAAGGCCAAAGGATTGCTTGAGTTTGAGTCCAAGAGTTTGAGACCAGCCTGAGCAATATAGAGAGACCTCATCTCTACAAAAAAAAAAATTAGCAGCACGTGGTGGCGTGTGCCTATAGGCTGAGGCAGATTACCTGAGCTCAGGAGGTTAAGTCTGCAAGTGAGCCCTGATCATGCCACTACACTCCAGCCTGGGCAACAGAGTGAGACTCCAGCTAATTAAAAACTAAAGCAAAAACTCTACATAAAGCATATGGTATACCTGTTTTGAATTCCTTCCAAGGAATTGTTTTATTGAAATAACTTCCTTTTTACTATCCCATGGTGAACTATCTGTTGCACTTGGCCTGTTGACTTTTTTCCCTTGACATTTTTCAGAATCCTACTCCAGTTCATATCTTCCTTCTCTTTCATATTTCAGAAGAGAAGAAATGTTTCCAAACTGGTTGCTTCTCTGGTTAAAGGCTAGGTGATTTATTTCTGTTGTAAAGGAAATGGTTGTACTCAGGCCTCTTTCAACCGCACATTCCACCAGGAGCCCAGCCCTACTTTCCACCCCCACTGCTGCCCCCAAAAAAGCCTTTCCTCAACTTTTTCATTCATGACTCCCTCCGTTTCCTTCCACCATCAAAACGCTTGATGGTTCTGGTGCTGGAAATCTAAATCTACTCATACTGCTGTACAGATGTTGTACTCTCAATAACCACTACTAATAAACTCCTCACTCCCATTCTTACTCTCTTATTTTTTCCACCCAGTCCTTAAATATGGGTGTTCCTTGAGTCTCTTCCCCTTCTGCTTCTCAGTTTATACTCTATTCCTGAGTGATCTCATCTGCTACTCTGTGCTGATGACTTACAGGTGTTTATCTCCATCAAAGATTCTTTCCTGTGGTCCAAACTCGTTTTTCAAGAATCACTCTCATCCTTGCAAGAATATTCGTTTTATGTTGTAATTATATTATTGACAGAGATTAAAATTTAACTAAGAATCCAATGGGAAGTTAACTGTAAATGTTATTTGGGTCATTTTTGTGCCTCAGCCAAAGCCTCTAATAACAGTGTTTTGTTAATTTGGTTATAAATCTTTCTCTCATTCATTCATTCAACTTGTAGGTAATCTCATATAATGAATAATGTTGCTACTCCTTGGTCATGAAATAGCTACTTTCTATAATAAAGAAACTTGGCGGGGCTCAGTGGCTCAGCCTATAATCCCAGCACTTAGGGAGGCCGAAGCGAGTGGATTGCCTGAGCCCGCGGGTTCAAAACCAGCCTGGGCAATTTGGCGAGACCTTGTCTCTACAATAAAATAAAATTTTAAAAAATTAGCTGGGCATGGTAGCGCATGTCTGTAGTTCCAACTACTTGGAAGGCTGAGGCGGAAGGATTGCCGGAGCTCAGCAGGTTGACGCTGGGGTGGCCGTGAGTGTGCCACTGCCCTCCAGCCTGGGCAACAGAATAAGACTCCAACTAAAAAAAA